TGAGGAAAAAAAATTAACTTAAATGATTTTAGCAAATGGCTGCAATATAACAAAGAGTGAAAAATTTAAGGGGGTCTGAATACTTTCCGTACCCACTGTATATATACACACACACACACAGTATATACACATATACACACTGTATACTAAAATAACACTCATCATGGTAGTAGCTGAAATTAATTTATACCCATTTTAATAATTGTCACAAATTATTAAAATGGGCATATGGACAGGATGATGTTTTTGGTGTATTACAGTAATGAAAATGAGATTTTCCACTTTATAATAATGTGAGAATTATGAGTTAGGAGCATTTTAATAATTTAAATGAAATATAATTAATTTTCTTTTTTCTAATTAAACAACAACAACAAATTATTATTATTATTATTATTATTGAGGTGAAATTATGATCTGGACATTTCTTTGTAAAAATTCATCATTGATCAGCAATCAAAAAAGTTGGTATTTTATGAATTAGGTTTTGACCGACCTGAAAGACAATGACGAAAGCTAATCGGGCCGCCAGAATGGCCCAGAATTCTCTTGAGAACTCATATGGCGTAGCAGACCATGGAGGGTCCCTGTAATCCTTATATCTGTGGATAACATTATGTAAACATTATGAATATAATACACAGTCATACACCACATTAGAAAAATCAGCCAGACACACAAAAGAAAGACTCTTTAGTGCAAAACAAACCAAGTACCTGCAAACCTCCACTTTATATCCCAGATGCATTGGCTCCATGGGCTCTGTGCCAGGCTGGAAGTGACTAACATTGAAGTATGAAAGGGTGTGATTGACAAAGCCATGAAGAGTCCCGTCTGGACTGTACATGTACTGATAGACCAGGCGTGGGATTAAGTCAGAGGTGAATGCGATCACAAATGCCTGAAGAGTGACACAATAGGATTAGCTCTCACCAAACCTTGGTAATGAGTTTGTTAGGGTGTTCTGGGTGTTTGTTAACTGGCCCTGTGTGTGAGATTTCTTTCACCTGTTTTATCATCCACCAGCTGAAAATCATCAGTCAGATTGCTCAGAAAGGTAATAGCACACCTCTGCTCAACAGGTGGATGATTGAAGGTATCACTCATGTTCACAGAAACCTTGGTAATGAGTTTGTTAGGGTGTGCTGGGTGTGTTTGTAAACTGGCCCTGTGTGAGATTTCTTTCACCTGTTTTATCATCCACCAGCTGAAAATCATCAGTCAGATTGCTCAGAAAGGTAATAGCACACCTCTGCTCAACAGGTGGATGATTGAAGGTATCACTCATGTTCACAGCACAAATTTTGCAGAGGGAGTTATTCCCCAAGGATTATTGCTTACGTTTGAAAAATGTACAGTAAATCTGAGCAGGAATAATATTAGTAGTGATGCTTGCCACTAATAATTACTTTCAATGCTCGGCAGTATACAGTACATCACAGGTACAGCACTAATTTGTTACAGAACAAACACATGGAATTAAAAACCTACATTAACAATGACAGCCACTTTACTGAGTCCTCTGAGAAGAGTGTACCAGATTCCTGGAAGACAAAGAAACATAAGATTACACATATTTGTATTTTAAATGTAGTTATACTTAAAGTCACTAATGCCATGATTGTCTTATTTGTCTTGAAAGTGAATAAAATACACTTTATTTTTCTTTAAGCAAAATCTAATCTAAGGAAAAAAAATCTTAAGTATAATTATATCCTTAAATCAAAATATAAGAAAAAAATGTTTAAGAAAAAAAAATCCTTTTGATATAACCACATGACAGGTTTTGTGAGAGTCACAAAAAAACACGTATTACATTATAATACCACTAGGTGGTGATAAAGTTTTGACAAAACTTATAGGGAAGATTGTTACATGTGACAGCTTGCCCTGATATCAATATGAATTATGAATATGCACTGACCTGACATGAAGATCAAACCTTTAGTTAAAATCTACCTTTATCATATAGTTGATGACTGCCAGTGGTAGCTTATAGTGTTGCTTTATCCAACAGCTATTATATATATACCGTATATATTTTAAATTGTATAAAAAAAATTGTATATTGTTGAATTTTAGTTCGTAGAACAAAATTCACACGCAAAAAAAAAAAAAAAAAATTTTTTAAACCATCATATATTCAAAGTTAAAACCTCATAGTAACTGAGATAAACTTTGGGATGAGATTAATAATTTTTGTTGTATATATATATATATAATTTTTTACATATATTAATAATACATTATTTAAACTTCATTTGAATGCTGTAGCATCCAGGACATCAATCTTTTAATAGATTTGAGAATTTTATAAATCTGACCAACTGAGGTTTCGCTACCGAAATAAAGGGTAGGATCATGATTTTTTGGTAGTACAGCACAACGTGAGTTGCTTTTGGGATCTGAAAGAGCATTTGGATTGGGAAATTGTGACATGTGACATCAGACTCAGAAAAAGTTTGCAGATTCTGTTTGGACCTGCTCATATATTTGCTTTACCATTTGCCTGAGATGTGCTTACAATCCAGTATATTTGCATTTGTCCAAGAGCAAGGTCAAATGTAGTTGCAAGCAAGACACAAAAAAAGGTCAGCAAAGTCATTTCATGAAAAAAGGATCATGCAAGGTATTTATAATGCTCTAGTCAAAGTACAATTATTCCCTAAAGCAATCATGTCTAGAAATGTCCACCACACCTATAATGCACAGTAGGAATCTATCAGATCTATCCTACATCTACGAAGGTGTTCGCTATGCTGTATGTACTCACGGAACGCCTATCTCAAACAGGTTATTCTGGATGAGCTGTTTGCCAAGCATGGTGATGCAGAGCTGAATGCACAATTCCATCAGACAGCCGGCATGGGCGCACTGCAGGGTGAAACAGAGAGAGATTTCAATCAGTTACTATGGAGTTGACTGGCTACACACCTCCGAAAGTGTTAGTCATCAGGACTGAGGTAACTAGGACAATCTGTCAAGTTATTTTTCATATGATGATGTGGTTACAAGACTCCAAGAATAGGATGAATTTAGCTTATACATACACATGTACACCAGTTGGTCAGTGAGACCAACTAAAAATACATTTAACAGTTTATGCCTCCCCGCTCTTGAAAAGCACCACCTGCCACTGGCACACACATAAAAGGAGGAAGCTGAATACTAGATATGTACCTCTTCCATCCGGTAAGACCCCATAACGTAGATATATTTGCCAGGACGTCCAATGATTCTGGAGGCATTGGATAGAAGAAGGTCAAGAGCTGAGTTTATCAGCTACTGCACAAATGCAAGTGGAGATTAACAAAACAGACATTACAGTAAATGTACCCTAAAGGGGAGGTAGGGGGATTGGGGGTAGCTCTGTTCCACAACCTAGTGAGCAATATTATATTGGTCAGAAGCATACTGTATGTCACATGTATGTTGTGCTTTTTAATGCTTATGTTTTAGTGTTTCCACCCAGCTTCTTCACAGTCTACTCAGCAAGAATTCCTTGGTCAATCAGGTAGACCAGCATTTTTTGGCCAGTGAACAATCAGGATCCAAGCCAGTACTATTATGCATGAACCAGCATGGAGGGGAACAGAAATGTATGCTGGTCTCAGCTGGTGTTTATGGAAGCTTGCTTCTGCCATGGGTTA